GCATTGCTCTTTTTACTGCACATTATCAAAGAGCTAAGCTGTTCTATCAGGCAAATGATTGGGATTTATCATGAGAGCCCAGATTATAAATGCTGATGTATTGTTTTTTTTTTTTTTTCGAAAGGTCACTCAAAAGTGGAGTTACAGCATTCTCGGCAAGTGAGAAAGGGGATTTCATTAAGATTTTTTAACAAAACATTAGATGCATAATGTTGAGCCTGTAGCTTAACAGTTTATACTGTCAACAGCAGAATGTAACATTTTCTCACTTATCCCCTCAAAGTTATACTCTGTAAGATTTGAGTCAGTGTAGATTCGTTCATAAAAGCTGCGTTATTATACAGCATACACTCAAATGGGACTAACTCGCAACAACAGACTGTATCTCAGAGTATGACTTTTTCACTGCCCATTTCTCATATAGAAAACATCATTACTTTGAACAATGAACATAGACATAAACAGACACACTCACACGCATACATTGAACATATACACGCAAAGACACACACATATGTGCATACATACATACGTACAAACGACACAAAAAGTTACAAACATATACGACACATAAAACACATGTAGAAATGCACTGATACAGACACATGACATACATTGACTGTCAAACCCTGCGCTGTCAATACAAAATAACTGACTATGTGTGTAGCAGTAATTCAAAGCACAATCACACTTCCTAAGTTAGCAGATTCTCAGGTGTGTGAGGTTAGAAACAAGACTGTGCCACATCTAAAATGATGTCTAAACAATGGTGCTATATGATTTCTGCTCCCTACAGTCATTCTTATGAGTGACACAGTTTGGCATGAAGTCAGAGCGGCACACTGATGCAGAAAGCTCAGACTGACTCGGAGAAATATGACAAAGCTATGCCTCATCTTAAAGGAGGCATATATAATTGTCAGTTAATAGAAAAATTTAACCCTTCTTTATTATATGATCTATGTCTGACCTGTGCTGAACCTAAAATCGGTGTATGAATCAGCAACCACCTCCTTTGGCCATTCTAGTGTTTCTTTCCAGGAACATGACACATGTCTGCTTCATTTTTCAAGGCTCACTACTCCCACTTTCTCTATCCCTTTCATTTTCTGTTTTTCTTCACCCTTCTTAAGGCTTCATAAGGCACAGGTATATGGATAATCCTGGAGTCCCTGCTGAGGAAACCAGGCCCCTCTAAAGGCAGGGGGGATTTATTTGCTCTGCATATCTGAGGTTAAGAGGCTCTGCTCCGGGAAAATATCACGCAACTGTTAAAAGTGGCATCGCAGCGAGTGATTCCTTAGCACTCAAATGACACTGCCCCTCGGAGACAAAATTGTCACTTGAGTTTACACAGACTCCCACAGTTGCGGCCCCTGTCATGCTCTGTCTGTGCCAAAGACATGAGAGGCCATGTTTCAAACACTGCTGGTGCTGGACAGCCCTTCAGCAAAGTATCCAGGATACTCTGTGAGCATCACTCGGCAGAGGAATAATCCTTATGGGGCTGAGGCATAAAGTGTAGAATTGAGGCCAGCTGCCAATCTCAAATAGATTGCACCCTAAGCTGATAATAATAATAATAAAAGTGGGACATACAAGCCTCCAGTAATCCCACTCTTTTTGTAAATTAGCTAATAAGTTAAGACAGCACTAGTATTTTCTGTGAATCCAGGGGGCTTTAAGACTAGACCGTATGATATACAGAAATATCCTATCACTGCAGTGTATTTTGATATGGAAAGGAGAAAAAAAATGGGAAAAGCCACATCATGGCAAAATGGCCGCCTACTTGACCTGTATTGGAGGAGGAAATAACAAGCTGTTCCTTCCACAGGCTTTCACAACACTCGGGGGAGCAGGCTGACCCTGCAACTGCAGAGCCGGAGGTGCTGCCCTCTTCGCTGGCTCCACTGGGAAGGACACAACAGTCCACCCCAGGGAAGTGTTCATCTAGCAGCCGGCCACCAAATCAATAAACAACACTGAGCCGTCTATATCTACTGCTGCTTAAACACATACACCATACAGTCTCTGTCTTCCTGTATCTCTCAAAACACGGCGAGTCAGTAGAGGGAGCTGGCCACTTCTCTAACTTCCTTTTGACATACTAAATTCATATTAGTCCTCTAATGGTGTGTCATTGTCATCCCTTTCAGAGAGTGTGTCAGGACAAGCTACTGTAAGTTATCTGTCTAAATATCAAACATTCTGCAGTCTGTTACTTCACCTGTTGGCTCCAGAGCAGGTTACTTACCTGAGCAGGGTTTGGGAAAAGTATTTCAGTGTGTTTGCAATGTCTGTTCCGGAGGGCACAGGGTAAATATTGTGTTGCACACGGTTGTGATACTCTTGCAAGTATCGTATCTTAGAGGCAACTAGACAAAATAAAAAGAGCAGAGTAACAAGGAAAATCAACACTAGTGAGACTATCATGGAGAGTATAAAAAATATTCATCTGAGCACAAAGACATGCATGAAGCTGTGTTTCTGTTGAGGTCTTCTGGCTAACATTAAGACAGCGGGCAGCATGTAACACGGATGCTCCAATTATCAATGTGTTGTGTGTTCCCATGGCTCTCTGGCCTTCACCAGGTGACCTTTTTTGGTATAGCAGCGAGGTCACAGGAAGCCCTAGAGGAGGCAGTGAACTATTGCTTACAGAAACAAGCTTGTGTACAAAAGGTTGCCAGTTCAAGTCCCAAGACAAGCCGGGAAAATGTGGTCAGGGGTGAACATGAGAGAGAGCTTACTCATCCCTTAACAGATGATACTGAGGGACATTTCCCGCAGTGACCCCCCCTCTGCTGCTTACTATGTTTAAGGTCACTCCTTTAGGTATGAATGTGTTATTGGATTTTTTTTTTTTTTTGCCTTGTTGAATACAAATTAAAAGAAGTTGGAGTTGACCCATTTTCTGTGACTTTGGGCAGCAGTGTTTAGCTTCTTCCCTGACCTGTAAATGACAAACCCCAAAATAAAAATAACAGCTGCGGGCTTTGTGTGCAGAGCATATGTGGTCAAAGCCTGTGCTGCCATACCTACAGACAGTAGCACACATGCTTCTCTCTTCTTGAATTTAAATATCCTGAGTGACAAACTATTAGATCTTTTAAACATTTTAATGCCTTAATGCAAAAGATGAAAAAATGTAGATGACGGCTGCTTATCTGTTGTTTAACAGTAGAAGTTCATCTATTTCTGGTATCAGCCTGATCAATTCCTCCATATATTGACTATTAAACAAAATCAGCAACACACAACTTTTAGCCAATTGAGATTAAAGTCCCAAACAGCAAGTTTGACCCCATATTTTCTGTCTATTACATACTGAAAGCGAGCAATATCTGATTCAAAGTGTACAGAGACCATTCATTAATATGGAAGAGAATCTGAACACAGAGGCTGTTTTTTTTTTTTTTTACACCTGTTCAAAAGCAATCGGAGGAAATGAACAACAGCCTTCAGAACGATGTGATCAATCCACATTATTGATCAATCTGGTGCCACCATATTTGTTCAGTAAAGAATCTGTCAGGTCGACCTTGAATCCAGCAGCACACCTCGCTTTTTTCCGCACGCACCTCATCCAACCACGTCAATCAAAAATAAAAAAAAATGATAACAAGACGACTGTGCGATCCAGCCACATAAACTGTCCCCCCCCCCCCCCCCCCCTTAACACGCCGATACATACACAGATATGTATATAAATATTGTATACAGGGGGGGCTTCCTGTGTGCTCTGAGCCCTCCAGCCATCCTCTGCAGTGAGAGGACGTGTTGCAACCTGCCATGGCAACCGCGGTTTCATCACCAAGGACAGCTCCCCTCATACGATTTCTTGGTTCAAACAAAAAATCACATTTCCAGTGTCCAAAACCTCCCATGACCAAGACAGGAAAAAAACACACACACACAAACATAGCCGTACTTACACTGCTCTGCCTTCGTAGACATTTCGCAGACACTTGGGGAGACACAAAACCCAGGCTGTCAATTGTTTTAGTGTTTTTTTTTCCTCCCCGGCGTTGTGTTTCCCTCAGTCGTGAAAAGTGAATATACCCCCCTCGCAGCCCAGGCTCGGCTTGATTGTACCACTCTGCGCGATGGATTTATGCGCTGGTTTTTTTTTTAAGCGGTGCTGCGGTCGTTTTCGTGAGCTTTTAGCGGAATTGAAATGCAAGATCCATTTTGGGGAGTCGGTTTTTAATTTTTAAGAGTTTGATTTTCTGATGGCGGAGAGGATTTGTTGGTATAAATCTGCCACAGCATACCTTTCCAAATGGACTGATCCGGCTTTGACAAATTGTCATTCAAGAATTCCAACAACCCCTATCAGTCCACTTTGAAGAAGTGATCATAGGAGGCAAATAACGACCGGTTACTTATCAATATCCCTGCGCATTTGTGTATATGTGCCGCATATAAAAGGCTAAACATGCAACAGATGGTTGTCACATTGTTGTAATCATAAACATGACGTGTCCTGGGGGGAAATTATATATTGTCCTTCTTTTGTTTTCATATTTTAGGAAATTTTGATTTTTCCTTTTGTTTGTTGTTGTCAATACTCCCTAATTCTGGTAACATAGCGAGGTGATATTAATCCAGATTATTACTTGAAGTAATTGCCATATGGGGAAATTATCTTTATGTCACTTTTTTAAATCTATAAATGTACTTAAGTCAGCCACTTGTGATAAATGGAGCATATTTTTTTTAAATTCTGTATCCTTTACTGGGAGCAAACTGCAACTGGAAGATAAACAGACTTCCGGGTCTGAAGTACTGACAGACCCCTCCCATTATAGTTTGTGCCAAGAACTGTTGGACTGTATCTTATCTCCAGCTGATTGGGAGAAACATCCTGTCACTGCAGTCAGACCCTGGAATGACCCATGTGCTTGTTACTACTGTTTATGCTGCTCTTCAAAGTGTGATCACGCAAATATTATGCATTTTACAAACATTAGAAATAAAACATACCACAGCAGATATCATGTCAGAGTCTTTATACATTTTATCATCAAGTTGCACTTCCCTTTATAACATTTTACACATTGGAAAGATCTACACTCAATGACAGTGTATGGAAGTCTTCCTGAATGCAGAGTTCTTGCAGAAGTCCAAGTCAAGGAGGTGGTCTCTGCCGGTACTCTGGGATGTGATGTAAAATCCATCCAGCCGGGCCCAAGAGAGTCCCAGCAAACACACATAAGGCAAAGACAGATTGCTGTAAGACAATCCATGAGAACATAAACATTAATACTTGTTTAATAGACATTATGTTCTTTGGAATGAAACAACTTTATGAAGGATTTATTGCACACAGTGTATCATAGCTCCCAAACCTCTCCTGTCATCAGCTACAGCTTGGATGCAGAGGATCGAACACCTGTTACTACAACAGAGGGGTCCCAATCTCAGTGACTCATCATCATTTATATCTATTGAGCATGATATTCCCCCTGTCCCTCTGCACTTTGGTATTTCTAACCTGAGCCAGGCTTTGCAAAAGCCTCTGTGAATGTCCCTGAGGACAGATCAGCAGATTTATAGTGGCATAAACACCGACCGCTATGTTGCAGTTCCATCATGGGATCCCTTTACAGAGGCCGGAGCTTCACACTCACTTATGGATAAGAAATGAATAAAACATCTCTCCCACTCTGCAGGCTGAAGAACACAGTTCGCTTGAATTCATCGCATTAGGGGCAATACAGTGAAGTATCACAGATACTGACTTCCCAAGACTGACTTTGCTGCACAGTTATGCCAACATGGTCTTCATAATTGCAATAGTTTAGCACCCAGTTAGCACAGGTTAAAAACATAACTAGTCCCTGTTGTTGTCGTACATTCTGATACAGCCAAACAGCCTAAGATGTTCATTCAACTTCTATAAAAACAACGAGTTACAAAGATATTGAGTCCTACCACTGTCCTGATCCTTTCCTTTGGTGGCTTGCTGTAGATGGTTGACCTGTGAGTTTGCTGAATGGCTTTCATCAACCTGGACTGGGTCAGTGTGGGTCTCCTAAGGGCAGAGAACATCTTTCGGCTCACACTGTCACTCTCTTCTACTGTACGGAAATGCTTCTGTGGAAATGTCTCCTCATATCCTGTGAGATACTTACAGATAGTCACTACTTTCATCTAATTCCCATCACGGTTCCTGGGAGGAGTTACTTCCATGGGCCAAAGACAATCATGTAAACATACTGACCAGTTCTCACAGGATAAGAAATCTGGCCTCGTCTGTGAGACTGCAGGTTAAAATGAACTGAATAGAAAAAACTCTTGTGACAAAATAGTGATTCTACATTATAATAAAGTCTCAATTGCAGTTGTATTGTAAGCTGAAGTATTACCTAAGTTATTAACAACCCATCCCTCATATCATGAAGAAACAAGTAAAATCTGTCAAGACTGCAGATTCTAACTATTCAACAAATGTGATGTGTCCTTAAACTGACTTAAACTGAGTCCATATCTGGCATATTTATTTATCTTAAAAATATCAGATTTGAATAAACTCAAGTCAGATTTGTGAAAATAAAGATGAATATAAAAACGTTTATATAATATTTTCTTTATTGCTGGAAGAAAAAATGCCAAAGTTGTAAGCTGAATTGTTCTGGAAATAAACAATGTCATGCATTCCTTATAAATAATTGTTTGTATTGTATTTTTTTTAAAGTTATCACCAAACCTGAACACTAGTCCTTTATCATCTTATTATCTACAATAACACCCCTTAATATAAACATAGGGTCACTCAGTTCTCTTAATTAATGACATATATTTCCCATACTTTGCCAAATTTGGGGAGAGGCTGCTTGAATAAACCGAAGTACTTAAGCTACTTAATTATTGATGTAAGAGCAGATGAGCATAAACAACATTTAAGGCTTGTCATCACACTTTAATGTTATTATGACTCAGGGGCTTTTCAGTGTCTAAGAGGCTTTGTAAATTTATAAAATCCAGGTATTGTGTTTATAACAAATCTGCAAAAACCTTAGATTAAGATTAAAAATAAAAGCTATAATGTACAGTATGTGCCAAAAAGGTTTTGGCCTGCATTAGATGTGTTGTGTCGCCCTCAACAGGTGGCCAAAAGAACTTCAATCAGACAAAGAGCAACCAAACTTTTAGCCCTGAAGGATTTACAAAGATAATAGGCTAACTTTTGAAATAATGACTTCTGTTACAATTGATCGTGTAGCTTCAGCGAGAAACTCTCATATTACATTTCAAATAACTATTATACCAATTCAAACAGTGGGTAGCGGGGCCCCTCAGCTGCATATAACCTACATGCATCCATTACATGATGGATTCAACACACATTTTAATACATTTTAAATTCGTGGTATCGCCTACATCATAGTAAAGTCATGTAAATACACTTCTTTAGAGGTAAAAGTTGATGAATAATAAGAAATAGGATGTTTTATTGGGGAATGATGCGTATTTCTATTAGCTCTCGACTGTACGGACTCCCGCTCTTTATATAGCCCTTTACAAAATTACTGACACTTCAATCAAAGGGAAAACCCACACAGGAAGGCAATAAGATGTGTTGAGATGTACGTAACTCACTTTATCCCCACTGTCACAATCAGACCGCTAGAGGTCGCTCGCAAACATGTTATTGCACAGGCTGCTCGGAGTACTGACGGGCCTCTTGACCAGTCGGCGTAAAGCATTGAACCTGTCAAGCTCACCAAAACACAGGAAACACGATTATTGTCGCTTTCAAACTAAAGACGCTACAGAGCTGCAGGACCTGCTTACCGTGTCTAATGACGGGTATTTCCACGATTTCCCAACAGATGTTTGTTGAGATGAATTAAGTTAGAATACCGAACATGTGATTGGACCAGCTTTTATCGGATATATCGTTGTGCAAATGCAAAATTGTAAAATTCCGAGGTTTTATTGTGAAAGTCAGAACCGGAAGCGCCGTTTGTTACTCTCGCTAGCTTGAGACGGTTTGCGTTGGGATAGGCCATAACAACCACCCAACAAGGCGTTGTGCTACTATGGGGAAATACCGAACCGAACCGAGGATAAAAACGGTTTGGGTTTAGTTTGTTAGTCGAGGTAAATGCGGCAAATTCGCCGGAAAGTCGACGCAAGTGGCGATTATTGTTAAATTACGGATCAAATGTGGACGTTGACGTCGAGCCGTGCGTAATGAGCAGAGTTGGAAAAAGAAGGTGTTGAGCTGCATTTTTTCTCTCTCTCCCTCTGCCAGGGACAACTTGGGTCGGAGTACTGCTCGAACTACGAGGCGACACGAAGGGAAAAAATGATGCCCACGAAGCTCTCCACTTCCCGGTAAATGTGTTTGTGAAACGCTCGCTTTTTCAACACTTGCATCGCATCCTGCTCGAAGTAAAAATCGCTGTTTCCGATGGAGGTAAAGTCAAAGCGACACAGCGGAGATAGCTTACCCTAGCCTCTTAGGATATGCTACTAATTACAGGGCTGTGCTGAATGTGACTCCTCTCGCTGGGCTGTGGGGAAATATTCGGACGCTACTTCCCATTTTTTAATCAGCCGAGACAAACAACCTAACTTGGTTTATGCTCTTACAGACACTTTTAAACGCAGGGCTTCCGCTGAGCAGCGACAGCCCACCAGCAGCCCAAAGAGCAACAATAGCTCCGCGTTAACGTAAGGCTAACAAAGCCATCGCCAAAATCATTGATTTCTGTATGCACGGGGTTGTGGGGTGATGAACGCTTAT